TTCGTCGTAAAGATTTACGAACACGTCGTTTACTTGGAACTTTATGTTTTTCATTTTGAATAACATCACAAGCAATACTAACCATTTGTAACAGATACATACCACATGCATTATAAGCTCGTTGAAGTGCACAATCTTCCACTTTGTAAAGTTTTCCTTTTATTTCGATAACTTGATCTTCTTCTAATAAATGTCTATCATATTCTACAGTGCAATTATCATTAGCAGAAGGTAAAATCGTTTCACTATAGACATTTTCATGGAATAAAATCAATAGGAATAATATATAGTTGAAAAAGAACATCATCATGATGATGGATGAGGGTGAAATTACAGGAGTTCTGATATTAACTGAAAAGAAAAAATAGAACTTGTATAGAAAAAGTATTAGCAAATGAAGAAAAGTAGAGATAATTTTTCTTTTAGCTTCACCTCACAACCACTTTAGTTATATCGTTTTCGCTTCGAAAATAATTCAAGCTATTAACAATTATTTAATAAGCGCAAATTTACTTACCTAGGGAAAGGTTGGGATAGCAGTGTTAACGTGCATATATATATATAGTGTTCTGTAAGCTTAGGAAAACGGAAAACATGAGTTATAAATTATATATATAATTAACATACAATATTTTTCTGGATTTACAGAATCATGTCGATCCATATATGACTCATAAACTCTATCTAACTTAATCCTTTTCTGTTTTTCTGAAGTCACAAACTATTCTATATTTAACGTATGATTTATGACTCATATCGAAGTAAAACTTTATCTTTTCCTTTTCCTTTTTCCTTTCAGACTCTCAAAAACATACCGCTCCATATGTGATTTATAAATTACATAGAAATGCACGTATGGATTTAGTGACTATATCAAAGTAAAATCTGATTTTCTCATTTGTTGTATGATTTATGGGTAATTACTTCATATTTTTTTAATTATTTCTGATTCAATATTATAGGGTGGATATAAATATGATAGACATCAATATTCATACGACGTACACGTTTTCTTGCAATCAGTTCGGTACACTCGATACTCTAACAATCAAGAGGGGAATAGTGAGCTTTTGGACTTCAAATTATTCTGAGCTACTTCAAGTCTGCTGTTTCTTTCTGACGCTAATAACATACATCACATTGACAATAACTTTCATTTGAAGTTTGCTTTAAACATTGAACAGACATATTTAGTGTATAGTATTGCAAATTAATAGATGGTTGTATTGTCGTTTGTTTTCGAGAAAGAAGGATGAATGCTATTCACTTATGCAATACATTATTTATAAATGTTCGTTTACGAGATTTCTTGACCTTATCTAGGAGTTTCTCTCGACTGTATCTGTTTGTGGTTTGCATATCACTTATAAAAGTGAAAAAGAAGAAGTTGCTTTTTTTATATTCAAAAATAAGAATGAATGCCTGCACTACAAGCAAAAAAACAATTCTTTTCTTTTTCTGCGCGCTGACAACTGCTGCTTTTGCTTTTTTTTCTTATATCTCTCGCAATAACTATCGAGACTGCAGACATCAATTTTTTTTTCTTACAAAGGTTGGTTCTTTGATTTTTATTCTGAAAAGATAAACAATTTCATTGCCGTGGGCTTGTCAATTTTGATAAAACAGTAAAAGATATAATAGAGTTCATTTCTTTGAAAAATATTTAAAAAAACGTTTTGTGTTTGTGTTTCATTTTCATTACCACCATAGACGAATGTCATGAGAGCTATTCGGCATAGAATCAACATGGCGTATTTTTTTTGATTGAAGTACAGCCTTCAGTTTGGGTCATGTCTATCCACACCCATACCTACACCCGCCCTACGAATGATACCAATATTCATAAAATTCATTCGCATATATTTTATTTAAGTGGAAATACAACAGTAATTATCAGGCATCTTTATATGATGCGAGAAAGTCAATGGTTACGGTGTAACTGTCTGAATGTGTCGTTGACAACATGGAAATGATTTCAAAATCCTTTTCTTAAGTTGAGGCATTGATCCAGCACATACAAAAGGTAATAAAAGATTGCCATAATATGCAAAGAATTCAGCATATGACATAAAATCTTTGCCAACATAGTTTGGAATACCACAAAGACGAAGAAATTCAATTAACATTTTTGGCATGTATATAAAAAGATAAAGAAGTGAAATTGATAATAATTGAATAGTCATTTTTCGATGAGTTCGCCAATGAATTGTTTGATGCATTCGACTTTTTTGATAAATAACACGTAAAAGAAGAGTAAGACTACAGATTACAATAGTCATTGTTGGAATAATATCATTCACAATGACATCCCACATTGCAGTTAATCGAACATGATAATAACAAGGAAAAGAACCACATACAATTTTAGTATAATCAAAATTATTTTTACATGGTGAAATTAGAACTACAATAATACTGTAAAAGATACAATAAAGAAGAAGTAGAAGAATTGGTAAACAATGAATAAATAGAAATTTATATCTAGTTGATACTAATCGATCATGAAAAATAAGAATATGTCGTTCAAATGTTGCCCAAGCAAAGAGAAGTGTTGTTGTAATATAGAATGCTTCATCAATAAAAAGCCAAGTAAGACAAAAAGAATAAGTTTGCGGCCAAACATATCCTAAACGATAATAATTGAGAATCCAGATAAAACTTGTCAGTTCAACAATCAGATTAATGAAAAGAAGAATAATAATAACATGATTATGAGGAGCTTGTCGTAATGTTCGATCGAATAGAAAATGATATAAAACGAAGAAAGAACAAATGACTGATGGAATATAAAAGAGAAGAATAATCCAAAATCGAACTATATAAGGAATGGCTATTTCACTCGATATATCATATAACATGACTTTTTATCTAAAGTTAGAAAGTAGATTAAATATAAATACAAAAAGAAAATCTTGAGGGAGAAGATAGATACTTAAGCTTACACACTCAAGATCAGGGGTAAGTCTTTTGATTCCAAAGGTACGAGGGCTGTCTGGAACCTGAAAAACAAGTTCTATTCGATATGCGATTGATCGTGGGGGAAGTTTTCTTGAGTTTAATTTATTTTAGATTTCGTTCATTATCAATGGCAATAGGTGATATCATAGAATAAAACATCAATTTCATGTTAAATAATTCTAACGAGAAATGTAGATGAGTAATAGTATTACTTGTTGTTTGTCAAAGCTGAAAAAAGGTTAGGAAATTATCACCTGAAAATTCTCTAATGATAACAAAAATCACCTATTGAACGATGAAAGTTAACTACTCTGATTACATTTCATCGTTTAACTTACTGATCCATTTTTCATTGATTTCAGAATACATGTTCTCCATTAGAACGCACAGAATCTATCAGTTTTGTTTTTCCTTATAGTGAAAAGAGAAAGAATAAAGTAATAGAAAAGACATGTAGAATTTTCTATTGTCAATATTAACTGTATCGAATTACTTATTTGCATTAACATTTTTCTTTTTCTATATTGTATACAAAAGATTTTTCTTATTAATATATATTTGAAATTATTTTTAAGTTTTTCTTCATTTGACAATTTCCTTTTGCAAAAAAAGTGTGAATGAATGCTTTTTGATAGTTAAATCATTTAAAAGAATATCTAATTTCTCCTTTAATTAGTTTCGATCTGCTAATCTTTCTTATTTGAGTATCCGATCACTTAGTAAAGAAAGACAAAAAAAATCAACATTTACATAAATTACACAAAGAGATTAGTTTCAATATATAGAAAGTTATTAGACTCAACACCTATTCAGATAAATTACTTGATTTTTAAAAAGAAAGTAATAACCATCATGATTGAGAATGAAAATAATAACTTTAATAATTACATCTTCAGTCATGAGAATATTTTAATTTAGATGACGCTAAATGTAATTGTCGAACAGATAATAAATCGATCAAAACTAAGAACTTGATGGACTTCTCCATAGAATTATTTCTTCAAGCAGTACAATACATTTTACTCATGAAAAATATCTCTTCATTTAACTCACTAAGTGATAGAATAGAAATTGAAACTATTTCCTTGTTATTGTTTCTCATGTCTTATCAACCACTGAATTGAGATATTGTAAATTAAGTATCACAATAGCTCCGATGATGTAAATATTTATCGTAGAACGAAAAGAAAAAAAAAGCATTTTCTTTTTTATCCTATATGTTATATGTTACCATGTGGCTTACAAAGTGCACTACTATACATTTGTTGCACACTCTTGTGATAAAAAACCAAATGTCGATTCGAAAACGTCAAAAAAGAATTGAAAACAAAATTACAATTACACAATTTGAACAATTTCATGATGAATTAGTATTAAAATGTTTTGATTATCTTGATTTTAATTGTCTATATGATATATTTTATAATTTAAATCAACGTTTTAGAAGATTAATTGAATGTCAAAAGAAAATTCAAATTAATTTTAATTCAATTCCATCGAAAAATTTTTTGAGATTTTTTTTTCAAATAAATCAATATATAAAAAGCGATAAAAATTATTTTCTATCAATTCTAACTGATAATAAATGTCGACTTAATTTAATATTAGAAGATGATTTATTTAAAGAAATATCTTTAAAACTAAAATCATTATCATTATCAAATATCGATGCTGGAACAATAAATTCTCTTATATTTAATAAAACATTAAAATTATATAAAAGATTAGAACGATTAAATTTATTCGAGAAAATTAGTGAAAAACATGAAGGAAGTAATGATATTGAATGTAAGAGTAAGCATTAAAATCTAATTGATTAATTACTTTTACAATATTTAGGTTTATGTAATAATTTGTTATCATCAAGAATGAAATCATTAAAATATTTAAGATGAAATTTTGAACCGTATTGGTGTAGATGTGAAAGTGGTTGGAATGCACGTCCACATTATATTGATTTGCTAGGTAAAAATACATCATTATCGAATTTAGAAACTCTTATTATTGGAAGTAAGTTATTCCCTTTCTCGTACAGAAGGGTCCAGTGAATATAAATTGTTTGCTTGCTTTTATGTCCGCAGGGTCAAAAAAACATTGAAGTCCAATTTTCCGGAAAAGACATTTCTTAAGGTATTTCGATGCGGGGACTTCGCATCTGAGGTCTATTGGGCGACCATAATGAGGGGAGGGGCAAAGGTAAAAAAAACATCGAAAACCGGTTTTTAATTGTTTTTCAAGAAAATGTGAAGAAGATGCGTTTCTACGAGAAAGAACTAAGCGAGTTGTGAGGATGAAATCCTATCTCTCTCTTTATTCGTATAAAAGCACACGCTATATATAGGATGGTGGAACACCCTGTAAGGGAAATGCCCAACATGAGATCAAGGGAACGACATGAGGAAAAGTCCCATAACATATAGCATCACATACATAAACGATAGGAGAAAAGAAATCCACATAACATAACGAAAGGAAAAATCCATGACGATATATAAGAGAACGAGAACACATATAGAAGAAGATGAATCACACTATATATCATATGTCTATATGTAACAACAGAACGAAAGAAACTATACATATATGCCGTAAGAAAGAAATGAAGAAAGATGATGATACCACCTAACAGAGTCCTCGGACGAGCGTTACTTGTAAATAATTTAGTTTTATTCAATATATCTCTCGTATTTATTTCAATAGATATAAATGATCAGACAACAATAAAAATATTGTTTAAAACACTTCATGAAAAGTTATTACCGGGTTTAACAAAATTAAAAACTTTAATGATAAATGCAATTCATTTTGATGAAAATAAATATTCAAGTCAAAATCAAATATATGTAAGAAGATTTTCTTTTTAAATCTTCATTATTGTAGAATAGTTGTTTTCTTTAATAGATCTCACCATTAAATTTAAAATTTATTAAAATCTGGCTTGATCTCGACAAATATAAATCAGATGATGCAAAAATAATAAGAAAATTTATAAGAGATTATTTTATCAATAACAATTCATCAGATAATACAACAATTAAAGTATTCTACATTGATAACAAAAATGTTTTAAAGAAAAAATTATAGTTGTTTTTTTATTGAAAACAAATTTGAACCTTTATTGACCATTTAGTTTAAATTTCGCTTGATAATTAGGGTGGGTGTGGGTGTGGGCGGTTTGGGTGTGGGTGTTGGGTGTGGGTGTGGGTGTGGGTGGGTGTGGGTGGGTGTGGGTGGGTGTGGGTGTGAGTGTGGGTGTGGGTGTGGCTGTGAGTTAATAACAATACATATACCTACATCCGCACCAACACTCACACACACCCTCACACCCACACCCACA